GGATCCGCTGTGTGTAGAAAGAGAGAGAGAGACGCTGAGCTGCACCGTGCAGCGATCAGCTGATACGGAGCATAGAGAGAGAGCTCTGCGGTCCGCGGGGCACGGCCTCGCCTCCTGTCCTCACAACTCTTATCAATCCCGGGACCGGACAATTGTTATTTGTTCCTCCTCAGAACCGAGTTTTGCTTCCCAACCCTGCCACTGTGCTACACTTCCCGCCCCTCCCCTCCCCCCCCCGCCCCCCCCCGTCTAACTGGACAGAAAGCGGCGAGATGCATTTCCTTAGGAATCGACAAGCAGAACCGAAACTAACATTTATAAACGAACAATTGTGGACACGTACAATTTGCGAATGAGTTCTGCCTTTTGTAAACTGAATTTATCAATAATTTGTCAATAAATCAGGGCGAACAACGTCACTTGTCCACCGGACAAGTCAATTGAAAGATCTACTTGTCCGATATTGTAAATAACACGTCCCGGACGGTGGGACGTGTACTTTTTCGCACACTGCCTTGTGATAAACACGCAAGAGAAAAAGCATTTGAGCTCCATACTGTTTCAGAAATAATCCTTGATGTGATTTAGAACAGGATGGCGTTTTATCACAGCAGAATTTTACTTTATCTCCGCTAGAATTCTGATCAGGCATTAGCTCCGCCTCCTCTTTTTTTTTTTTCAAGCTAAGGACCCAAAATCCGCATTTCTCTAACAGGGCTGCAAAAGAGGGGTTTGAGCAGTATGAGGCATGGCTACAATGGGTGATTTGCTTGGTATTTTGAGCAAAACACATCATAGACATATTTTTATATTTATCTGAGACCCATAATATGTGCCTTGAAATAGCACGATAGGTGCACTTTAAAACATGAAGGTGTTTGGGGGGCTTCTTCTACTTATTATTTGTGTAGCTTGAGGCTGATATCATTTCTGATTAAGATATTTTTGACCAATTTTAGTCTTTCAACATACAACACAAATATGACGCTGATAAGGATCTCTTAGAGTTGTTCTAATGAAAACAGGGAGCCATGCATAATGATGTACATGCTAACACAATGCTCATTAAATTCAGCCCGAATGTTCCTTATTTCCTACTTTCTGCTCCTATAGGTGAACCGTCGTTGTTACTATTCTGTGAGTTTTGTGATCTGTGTTCCCTAAAGCTATTTTTTTAACGTTTATGCACAATAACAAACTCTGCAAGAGGCGGCATATGCAATCTACTGCTGCTGCTGCAACAAAATCATTTCCCAAATTGGGATCAATAAAGTGTATCTATCTATCTACGAATCCATGTCCTAAGAACAGTCTTAAAACCTCAATATTATCCCACATGTCTCATCAGAAAAGGCTGCAGTACACTTGGAAAAAAGCCCTATTCGGTAATATCCAAATTAAATGTGTTTTTTTTACGTAAACAAAAAAACATCCCCCATTTCAAAGTCTGATTATTGTCATAATTGGTATGACTGTGGAATACTAGTCTTTTTAAATGAGCTCAAATCTAGTTAGTCACAAACATATTTGTGGTTCTCTGCTCTCTGGTACTAAGAAAAGTATTTTAAAAGTGGTGGAGGAAGTATTCAGATCAGAGAAGTAAAAATACGAGTGATTCAGTGTTAAAATGTGAGTTACAGGTGAAAGCCGCACATTGAAAATGTTAATTAATTATTATCAGTGGATGAAATCTCCAGTAAAATAACTTTAAATAACTTTCTCCTAGGTCCTCCTGGGGATGGACCTGGCATCAGAGAGCAAGATGAACTCTGAGGGGGGCGAAGGACGACCAGGTGAGACGCTCCGATCCAAAATGAAACGTTTGGTTTTTGATTTCTAACAAAGTTTTTTATGCTGTTGTTTGTTTGTTTGTTTGTTTGCAGTCCCTCCCACCTCCCTCACCCTGCAGGGTGGTCCCTCTCAGAGGAAGAAGCTCTCGGCCCCTCGTATCAGTCTGTCTTTGGACCAGAGCGAGGACGACCTGGGGGAGACACCCGACGACCTGGATATCAACGTGGACGACCTGGACACCCCGGACGAGGGCGATTACCTCGACTACACCGACCATGAGATGGACTGGGAAGGTGGGTCGAAAAAAACAAACACATTCTTGATCCTGCAGGAGGCATAAAGGGTCAAGATGTGTAAAAGAAAGTATAGAATATAAAACGATAAGACTCCATAATCCAGGTTCTGGATTTGTGAGCTAGTCTCTAACTTTTGCAATATAAACCAATCAATCAATTCATCTTGATTTATATAGCTTTCCTCACCTGCATGGTAACACAAAGGGCTTCACATTTAAAAAACAAACAAAAAATAGTACCCCAATTTGAGTTCATAGACAGAGCAACACATATCTATGTGATTAATAAAAACAATTAATACTAACACAAGCCAATTAACAAAGGACTGAATAAAATAATAATAACAACTACAATTCAATTAAAGGTCTCCTATCATGCAAAATGCACTTTGTGATATCTTTTTACATTTTTTACATTTTTTTAAAGATGTGTCCCCGGTGTGTCGGGGAACTCACGCAGCGTCAGAAAATAAAACCCTCTCTCTTTTCCTCCGTACCCAAATCTCTAAAAACGGGGAACAACGGAGCTGATCCAGATTTGCGTCCGATATGACGTAATATCTGAAATGTGGACCCACGGCCCTATCAGAAACGTTGCTATCAGAAACAATGCCCGACTGTTTTGGACGTAATATGGTCTGTGTTTAAATTAGCATCGCTAACACTCAGAGCTAACCTGTTATGGAGAGCATGTGTGTGAAGAAGCAGGAAGTAAAAAGGAACTCACCTTGTGGTATAACCGGCAAGAGAGAAAGCCTTTGAGCTCCATACTGTTTCAGAGAGAATCCTTGATAATCCATGATATGGCGTTTCATCACGGCAGTAT